AGGACTCGTCCAAGCAGTCACTGCAGAGTCGGTAACGACTGAGCGCAGATTAAATAAAAAATAAAAAATCACTGCTTATCTGGGTGTTGGCTGCTGGAGAGGATGTGTTCTGGTCTATTGTCTCTTTTGAATGGTGTGTAATCTTAGGGTTAGGGTGAAGGTGAGGGTGAGGGTGAGGGTTAACCTCTCACCCTCATCCTAACCCTAACCCTTAAATCCATTCAAAAGAGACAATAAAAAATGCGAAGTAGTGGTGTGTAATCTTAGAGTGTGTAATGATGTGTAATCTTAGGGTTAGGGTTAAACCTAACCCTAACCCTTGAATCCATTCAAAAGAGACAATAAAAAAGCTAAGAAGGAAACAAAAAGACCAGAACACGCCCTCTCCAGCAGCCAACACCCAGATAAGCAGGGTTTAACAACAGTCCAAGATCCACATCAATGTGTCAGTTGATGGCTGATTTGTCTGAATGCTAAGCTTCTAGGAATTCCCTAGCATTTTTAGATTTAGCTTGCTCTAGGATGCTCATAGTTTCCCATTTGGAACTATGGTTGAGTCTGTCCATGTGTTGTGAGATTAAAGAGTTTTCATTGTGTCTTCTGACTGCCTATTGGTGTTCATAGATACGCTCTGCTAGTCTTCTATCTGTCTACAAGATGGGCGTTACAGTCATTACACTGTATTATTATTATTATTATTATTATTATTATTATTGCGGCTGCTGCTGCTGCTGCTGCTGCTGCTGCTGCAATTTATATGGCCACCCAACTCACTCATGGTGACTCTGGACAGCTTACAGAAATAAAACCCCAAATATCCCTATACGTTATAGAAAACTCCTGTTTTTTTGTTTTTTTATTATTTTATTTATTTATTAAATTTGTATGCCGCCTGTCTTCCCCAGTGGGTGACTCTGGGTGGCTCACAATGAAAGTAAAAGGCACAAACAGTTAAAAAATAAATACCCGCATTGATTAATTAAAATTAATTAATTAATTAAAAAGTCAAACTACAAAAGCAAGCCTTATACAAAAAGACTAAAACACATTCAAGATGACAGGGGAGTAAAATCAATTACCCCACAAGCCACTTCCATTGTTGTGAGCCCCCATGCAGCCCCCAGGCCATCTGGCATAGCCAAGATTTCACGCTCTTCCTGAAGGCCATGAGAGTGGGGGCACACCGCACCTCGGGTGGTAGGTTGTTCCACAAAGCAGGGGCCACGGCAGAAAAGGCCCTCTTCCTAGATCCTGCCAGTCGAAATTCCTTGACCCCTGGTGGGGTCTGCAACGTGCCCCTTCTGCCGGACCGAGAGGGGCAGGCTGATGTAACAGGGGTGAGACGGCGCCTCAGATAACCTGGTCCTGTGCCATGAAGGGCTTTAAAGGTGATAACCAACACCCTGAATTGGACCCGGAAGCAAACTGGCAACCAATGCAGCTTGCATAACAGTGGTGTTATACAGGCCCCCCAGGGGCATTCAGAACTGTCCGCGTCGCTGCATTCTACGCCAGCTGTAGCTTCCAGATACTCTTCAAGGGTAGCCCCACATAGAGCGCATTGCAGTAATCCAACCGGGAGGTGACCAGGGCATAAGTGACCGTGCGGAGGGTCTCCTGATCGAGGAAGGGGCGTAACTGCCGCACAACACGAAGTTATGCAAGGGCCCTCCTAGCCACAACTGCCACCTGCTCTTCGAACAGGAGTCATGAGTCCAGGAGGACCCCCAGATTACGCACGGGTCTGTCTGGGGTAGTGCAACCCCGTCAAGAACCAAAGATGATAAACTC